CTCTCCCTCTCTACCGTTCGTCTTCTTCGACGCTGCCAATCTCCCTCCGCTTCCTTCTACGACGTTTACAGTGACTCTAGGCACGGCGTGCACGACTACCGTCTTATTTCTACGCGTCTTCGCGGCTCCTGTCCCTATCCGAGCGCCTCCGCGATTCCACGGACGTCGGGGCACCGTCGCTGATAGACGCCGCCGGATCTTTTCTTTTCGCGCCCCCGCGATCCTTCCGCGAGCTCCATTGTGCACGTTCGAAAAATTTGTGTCACCGGTCCCCAGCGAATTCTCCGGCCCCGATTTTTTCGTCGGCTTTGTTTCAGCGTTCGAGCAACCGGAGCGGATGGATTTCGTTGCAGCGGAATATTCGGGATTTTCTAGTCTCCGGCACTTGGATTTCAGAAATATTCGAGGAACTGTCTCCTCGCACGCGTGTGCTAGGGAACAGCGGTTCGCAACGTGCTTCGTTGGAAAGTATGGAAAGTGTTTCGTAAGATAGATTATGTAACGATAGACTTTCGTAGGGAACGAGAATTATCTGAGAGTAAATATCCATTCTTTGGATAGGAGTAAACAGGTTTCTTTGAAGTATTCACTGCGAACTAGTGATGAAACCATTTTATACTGTGGTATGAATGGTATTTAAATATGTTTTATTTAAAAAAACACAGGAATAGATAATTGAATAAAAACAAATAAATAGAAACGATATAGCAGTGTAGATCTTTTCTCTTCTCTAGTCAACGCAACTCTCGAAATCTCTCGCCATCACTTGAAAATCATTCTCTCCCACAAGCATTCTTCTTACTCACACTTCCAACAAATTCTCAAACACAGCCCACTCTCACCACGCACTCATCATCCTCGCTTACGCATCCTTCGGAGAAACCCACCAACCCTTGGACATGGTCTCCACGAGCTTTCTCTTTCATGGCCCTTAGAACACTCGCTGTCCCACTGTCTTAAAACTACAATACTACAATAATGAGAAACCGTTTACTTCGAAGCGACTAGGGTTAACTTTACGCACGAGGAATATATTTCGCAAGGGAAATGAAATTGTACATCGAAGTCTTAACACGTCGACTGCCACGAGAAACTTCAGCGTTTCACGTATCACTTATTCTTTTGTAGAAAAAATAAGAAGGAATAATTATCAATTATTTGGTACAAGATTATTAGATCACACTATAATCTAGTTATTTCAGTTATTAAACATTTTCATTCAACGCCGGTCATACTACAATACAGATACGTATATATCTGATATGTAGAAAGTTGCTCGGAGTTCAGAGTGAAACGAAGATAACGCGAACGAAAGGGGTCCCCGCGTAAAATTCTGAGGGACACTGTTCCCTCTCTGCAAACCAGCAGAAATTCCCGACGAACCGGTTGGGAAACGCTGCACCGGAGCGAGTCGAATCGAGGCTGTCCAACGTCATCGTTCTCCCGCGTCTTAGCTAACTTCCCGACGTATCAATTTCAGCGAGTGCAGCGAGATATTACATCACCCGCGGCGCCATTACGAAATAGAAAGTCCCCGGCACGCTCTCGCGAATTCCTCGCGTTATTTCTACCGTTCCGCCGATATCGGGTTCGCTCGCTTCACCCTTTGTGCCCTTTGTCCCGGTCGGTCGGCCACGTTTTCATGCTTCTTCGGGGATCCTACCGCTGTTCGCGCTCGTGCCTCGCTGGCCAACGACAAGAACGAACCGCGTTTCACCCCCGTTTCCCTTCCACCCGGTTCCTCCCCTTTTATTCGAACTCCGTTGTTCCCCGGTTTCCGCTACTTAGCCATTTTTCTTCGATGCCGTCGCGCGAAAGGGGACCGCCGAGTAATCCATCAAGGATCGAGGGCGGATAGTCGCGTTGTTCCGGTAACCATAATCGGAAACCTCGTAGCTATTAGCTCTTCGACCTGCGAACGTGACTCGTCGTCTGTAGATCTTTGCGCGGAATGCTTTTGATTCGATACGTGAGAAATTGGAATTAAGTAAATTTTAACCCTTTGCACTCGAAAGGTGACTACTAGTCACCACTTGATTTGATACAAAACTATGAAATTGGATATTTACTATTTTAAATTGAACTTTGTATCGCAATGTGAAGTATTTCAATAAAATAGCTTTGTTGGTTAGTTTATCTGTGAATTATCGTTAAATTAGTTTCAAGCAATTCGTCTCGTCAGAAAATGTTCAAATATATCTACTGAGAAACAAAGAGTGCAAAGGGTTAATACGTGAAGTGTAGATCTTATTGAAGTAATTGCAATAGTTGGCGCGGTGAACCCAACCAAATCGAATTAGTATGGTTCATGCAATTAAACGTTGATTATTTGACATTTCTATATTATAAATAATACTACTTAATGCGGTGACATTCAGCTGGATGAATATGTAATAATAATGCAATTCAATGAAATGATTTGACATATTTTTTCCGTTTTGCGTAGTTTGCTCTAGGAAATCGTGAGGCGTTCGTGTTAACGAAATGAAATTCAACCCTTTCGATACCAAGTGAAATTTTACAAACGTATGATTTATAGAGGATTAGGTTAACATTACAAATATTCAGATTCCAAACATTGCATACTAGTTAAATTCCGTGTGATACATTTGAAAACTATAATACACAGAAACCTACGTCACACGATTGACAACAATGAGTTATGTACAAAGATATCAGGTGACTATAGTCATCGCTAGTATCAAAGGGATTGATTGCAATTAATTGTAACAGTTAAAAGGAATTTAATTCAAAGTCTTTTTGTCCTTTCGCGCAGCGTCTCTTCCGATCCAGATTTTTCCATTTTAATTCGAAACTCCCGACGTCCCCATCAAAGTCTGGTATCCCTAGGAAGTCGATAATGATACCCCGATAAAAATGATTTTTTACAACAAGCTGCCGCGTAATTCGGAAAGACAGCGGTTCCGTGTTACCACTGAAAACCGCGGCTGTTTCATCTCCTCTGGTTTCGCGGGCGTTCCAGAGATCGCAGAGAGGGAAAAAATTCGACGAATTTTCGATCGGCGCGGCCGATATCCCAGAGCTCGGTTTTACGGGGGGGGGAAAAATACCGACTTCCCGTTTTCGGGCGCGACCGCGATTGTTTCCAGTGTCCGTGGGAAAAAGTTTCCATTTCGAGCCCGTTCCCGCTGATTATTTCACGGGAAAAAAAGCAGCTTCGCCGCTGGAACCTCGATTATTCCGGAATACCCGCGGAAAAGCGACTCGCACGATAGAACGGGCGCGAAATCAGCGCGCGAAACGATAACTCGCGAATTCCATTAGTCGACATCTTTGTCGGCGCCGCCGTGAAATCGTGAAACAGCGCGGAGCGCGTTCTCGCCGGCGTACCCGCGATGAACCGCGTGAATCGTGGGAAAGTTAATTATCGCTTCGCAGAAGCATTATCGCCTGTTTCGCCTGCGTTGTCCTTTGTTCCATTCGATTCGTCGACGTCTTCGTTTAATTGCTTCGTTTCATGTAGAATTATTTCCGTTGATGCGTTCGTAATTACTTTTATTATTCTTTAGTCTGTTCGGGATCTATTCGTTTGAATTGAAACAGCTGAGAGCATAGAATTGGGATTATTTCTACCGAAGGTGTAAGACATCTTTTGAAATTTGAACTGAAAATTTTCTCAGTCTAATCATTTCTGCTGAATAGAATTTTGGAGATTTCCTGTGTTTAATTGCATAATCGTTATTGGAAAAGTCAAAAAGTCAATTCAGAACATACGACTAAATTTGTGAAATCATTGTAAGTTAACCATTTGCACTCGAAAGCTTTTCACTGGAAATATTCAATTTTCGATATAGTCGACATTGAAACTGATTTTGACGACAATTCACAGATAAATTGAGCAGTAAAGTTATTTTATTTAAATGTCTCACGCAGCAATACAAAGTTTAATTTAACCCTTCGAACTCTGTAGGCTCCAATATTGCACCACTTCTAATATCAAATATTTCAATGAATCTTAAAGAAAACCTTAAAATCATTCGATTTTCCACACATCCGAATTCTGTGCAAGGAAACTAAAAGATCGAATACATGTTAAAGAATTTTCAATTTTCTGAAAATTTTTCAAAGCGTTGGAATATTCTAGATTATATTGATTTTCTCCATATGTTAATAATATTCTTTTTTTTAAGAATCCAGAATATTTCAAATATATGTGAAGTTAATGGTGATGGAAGAATGTTCTAGAAAGTGTATGAGTGAGACAAGAGCATCTCAGTATATAAATAGTGTGTGCGTTTAATTTAGTTAGTGTTTTATTGTGAGCTGTGATGAAATAATTATACTGTTTCAAATAAAATTCTCTTTCTCCTACTATTCTCGTATTATCTATAATAATACCCCCACTATAAACTTGGGGGCTCGTCCGGGAGCACTATGAATGTTTCAACGGAATCGCGGACGAAATTCGGTCGACTCGATAATATAATTAATCTTCTACGGAAAGTCATTGTCGATCATAGCGGTGGAGATAACCATGCGGCGACTAACGAGGCAGTCGGCGAGACCGGCGGCCAGACGTTTCTGCAGTTCCCTCACGTTCCTCATAATCCGTCTAAAATTCGAGGTTAACGCTAACAAGGGACAGAAGCTTTAACACCAACAAACTAATTCCCGAACA